CTTTTCGTCGCATCAGGTATCGTTGCGGGCGAATTGCACCCAGTGCAAAGCGCCCGTGTTCTACATACTCACCCCGGTGCCCTTTGCGTGACCTTTGGCAAGGCTTAACACCGCTACTGGAAAGGTGTGGGCTGGAAATTCCATCGTGCATCATTGACGACAACCAGCGTATGATCGTACAGCCAGGCTGCACCCACGCCAGCGGCCCTCTGTGTATGCACGAACTCCTGCAAGAAATACTATCCAACGGCAGTCCACGATCCACGCCATCCATCGCCATTTGCTTGAAGTTTGTCTTGCGGACAGAGACATGTAGATCCCGATTCTAGCTGATCAGGAATTAGCATTTGCGCAATAAGCCTATATGTTTCTAAATATAAATTCGGGGAATCAGTTGTTTAGTATTGTTTGCCAGAAGACCTGTTACAGACGCATTAGAGGTCCGCATACCTTGTGTTGCATTGCAGGCCACACTACTGCTTAAACACTCAAGTGGAAACACTAGTTGAACACTGCTTAATGCTGACTCAGTTTTGCAAAATCGACGTCTGAAATCCTATAAAAAATCACATCATCATACGTGAATTTTTAAATGCAGTATTGTCTCAGCATCGGCATCGAAAACGGTAATCATTAAGAATTTTTGCCAAATTTTGTCTGTTCAGTTTCATTCCATTATATAGCCGTTCAATGCTGTGCCCGGAAACGTTGATGTTAGCAATCGAATCAAATGAGAGTTTGATATTTGATTCAGAAGTGCCAGAGCCACTGCCCCATACGTCATGGAGGCTAGGCAATACCGCGTGTCCTGGCCGAAGGAGGTCGGTTGAAGAGATCTTTCAAAGCGCGCCCCAAGCTACAAACGCCAGGGCGTGCCGCGGACCAAGCAGAGCAAAGAGACACCGTGAAGATACGCTTGAACTTAGAAAGATTAACATGAATACATCAAATGGATTCATCTGTTGGAGATTTTCTCGCGATGAACTTGATGACGGTTTACGCAAACGTTTGAAGTGCTGATATCAGGAAAGTAACTTACTCATGTATTACTTATTTGGACATCGGTAAAAAACGATGCGGGAAAATGAAAGCACATTTGTTTACTCTAAACTTATGCGGTCGTAACTAGGAAAGTAATTGGAAAATCCAAGGCAGAGGTAATGAATTTTTGATTTTGTGCTATTTTGTTTACTATAGATTGTATCCGTCTCGTAATATACATAGCTGAGACGTTGAGTGAATTGCGTTTATTCATGGGTTTTGCTCTGCGCCACGTCACAGTTGACAATTGATCAATGAGCTAAGACGGGCTCTTGAATATATGGCTGCATGATGGCGCAATGAATTGAATTGATTGGAGTTTCCTTTATATAGATATATTAATATATTATTTATATATTATATTATCATAAAAACTGCTCTCTGGATGATGCCATTAAATGTAATTGTTTGTCTTTTCTTCGTACTACTCTGCCTGAAAATAAGGTTAGCAATTAAAAACAAACAAAAATCTTCAGAAGTTTATCTCATATCACTTTCTATACATTCAATGAAATGGTAGCAGACATTAATTGCAGTTTGAACTTTGAAGATTTGTGTTGAACATATCTAACAAATTTTTCATATGATCCGGAAATTATTAAGCATAACATAGCCGCCATATAAAACATGTGGCCATGCCGCCGTTACAAGCACACACAGTAAACATGGAAACGCACACCCGTACGTACGCGTATATTTACATCGCGGGTGCGAACAAAGTTTTGGCATAAAAAACGGTCACCAACCGGCGTCATTCTTACCGTATAAACCAATATTAGGCCCGCAACAACGCAGGCCATCGTTTGCCGTGGGTGATATACCATGAGAGACAGAGGGAAAGGGTTATGGCGATGTGAAGGGGAAGAAGAGATAGAGAGTATAAATGTCAGACGGAGTGGGAATGAGGAAAGTATTAAGGAGAAGGTATAGAGAGCGTAAGAAAGATGGGGGAGAGGAACGGATAGAAGGGCTGAGGAGGGCCGAGGGAACAGATGGAAGGGCGTGAGAGGCGAAAGGAGACGGATTAGAATGGGCTTGAGAGGGCGACGGAACGGATGGAAGGGCTAGAGGGCGAGGTGGGAATGGATAGAAGGGAATGTAGATGAGGGACGAAAGAGGGAACTGGATGGAAGGGGCCGTGAGAAAGCGAGGGAGGAAATGGACTGGAAGCAGGGGCTGATCGAGAGGGCGAACGGGTGGGAAATGGATGGAAGGTGGTGAGATCGGGCGGAGGGTAGGAATGGATTGAAGGGGTGAGAGATCGAGCGGATAGGAATGGATGCGTAGGGTGAGAGGTCGTGGAGGGAATGGATGGGAAGGGGCGTGAGGAAGGCGAGGGATGGAATGGTTGGAAGGGGTTGAAGAGGCGTGGCGAGGAATGGATGGAAGGGGGTGAGAACGCGAGGGAGGGAATGGATGGAAGGGGGTGAGAACGCGAGGGAGGGAATGGATGGAAGGGGGTGAGAACGCGAGGGGAAGCCGGACATGTGATGGGAAGGGGTTAAGAGGGCGAGGGAGGGAATGCGATGGAGGGGGTGAGAACGCGAGGGAGGGAATTGATGGAAGGGGTTAGAAGGCGCGGGTGGGAATAGATGTTGCGAAGCGAGCGAAAGTGACGAGCGAAGGGAATGGATGCGAAGGGGGTGAGCAGGGCGAGGCGAGGGACATGAGATAGAAGGTAGAGACGAGAGCACGGAATGGCATGGCAAGGGAGCGAGAGCGCAAGGATGGCGAATGGATGGAAGGGACGGCTGAGACACGCGAGGGAGGGAATGGATGGGAATGCGGGTGATGAATTGCGAGGGAGGCGAATGGATGAAGGGGTGAGAGGGCAAGGGAGGGAATGGATGAAGCGGGCTGAGAGGCGAGGGAGGGAATGCGATGAGGGGTGAGAGGGCTGAGAGAGAGAATTGCATGGAAGGGTTGAGAGGCGGCGAAGAGAGAGAATGGATTGGAATGAGATGAGTGGGCAGGGACGGGAACGGCATGCGAAGGGGTTGAGGAGGACGAGAGAGAGAATGGATGGAAGGGGTAAGAAGGCGAGGGTGGGAATGGATGGAAGGGGGTGAGAGGGCGAGGGTGGGAATGTATGGAAGGGAGCGAGAGGTCGTGGGAGGGAATGGATGGAAGGGAGCGAGAGGGCGAGGGAGGGAATGGATGGAAGGAGGGTTAGAGGTCGTGGAAGGGAATGGATGGTAATGGGCGGTGAGAACGGCGAGGAGCGGAATGGATGGAAGGGTGTGGTGGACGAGAGAGGGGAATAGATGGAAGGCGGCCTTGAGAGCGTCGAGGAGGGAATGGATGGAAGGGTGAAGAACGCGAAAAAGGGAATGGATGGAAGGGCGCTTGAGAAGGCGAGAGAGAGAATGGATGGAAGGGGAAGAGTAGGCGAGAGAGGGAATGGATGGAAGGGGGCGAGAGGGCGAGGGAGGAAATGGATGGAAGGAGGTGAGGAACGCGGAGCGGCAGGGACATGGGATGGAGGAGGGAAACGCGAGGGACTGCCGGAATGGATGGAAGGAAGGTAAGAACGCAAGAGAGCGGAATGGATGGAAGGGTCGTTAGAGGGCGGGTCGGATTTACATGGAAGGGCGCGAGAGGGTAAGGGGAGGGAATGGATGGCAAAGGCGTAGAGAACGCGAAAGAGCGGAATGGATGCGAGCGGGTGAGAAGGCCGAGAGAGAGAATGAAAATGAAGCAGCTGAGAGGGCGATGGAACGCGATGGAACAGCGGCTGAGAGGCGCGAGGGAACGGATGGAGGGCTGAGAGGCATGGCGAACGGATGGAATGCGCTGAGAGGCGAGGGAACGGAATAGAACGGGGCTGAGACGGCGCGAGGGAACGGATGGAAGAGCTGAGAAGGCGAAGGTGGGAATGGATGGAAGGGGTGAGAGAATGGATGGAAGGGGGCGAGAGGGCGAGGGAGGAAATGGATGGAAGGAGGTGAGAACGCGAGGGAGGGAATGGATGGAAGGGACGATTGAGAGCTGCCCATCATTCCCTCCCCCGACCTCTCATCCCCTTCCATCCATTCCCTCCCTCGCCTTCTCACCCCTTCCATCCATTCCCTCCCTCGCGTTCTCACCACCTTCCATCCATTCCCTCCCACGACCTCTCAACCCCTTCCATCTATTCCCTCTCTCGTCCACTCACCCCTTCCATCCATTCTCTCTCTCGCCTTCTCACCCCTTCCATCCATTCCCTTTTTCGCGTTTTCACCTCCTTCCATCCATTCCCTCCCTCGCTTTCTCACCCCCTTCCATCCATTCCCTCTTTCGTCCTCTCACCCCTTCTATCCATTCCCACCCTCGCCCTCTCAGCCCTTCCATCCGTTCCCTCGCCCTCTCAGCCATTCTATCCGTTCCTTCGCCCTCTCACCCCTTCCATCTGTTCCCTCGCCCTCTCAGCCCTTCTATCCGTTCCCTCTCCCCCTCTTTCTTACGCTCTCTACCTTCCTTCCTTAATACTTTCCTCATTCCCTACCTCCGTCTGACATTTATCTCTCTATCTCTTCTTCCCCCTTCACTCGCCATACCCTTTCCCTCTGTCTCTCATGGTATATCACCCACGGCAACGATGCCTGCGTTGTTGCGGGCCTAATATGGTTATACGGTAGATGACCGCCAGGTTGGTGACCGTTTTTATGCCAAAACTTTTTCGCACCCGCGATGTAAATATACGCGTACGTACGGGTGTGCGTTTCCATGTTTATGTGTGTGCTTGTAACCGCATGCACATGTTTATATGGCGGCTATGTTATCTTATAATTTCCGGATCATATGAAAAAATTTGTTAGCAATGTTTCAACACAAATCTTCAAGTTCAAACTGCAATTAATGTCTCTACCATTCATTGATGTAAGAAAGTGATATGAGATAAACTTTCTGAAATTTTTGTTTGTTTTAATTGCTAAACCTTATTTTCAGCAGAGTAGTACAAGAAAAGACAAACAATTACATTTAATGCATCATCAGAGACAGTTTTATATAATATAATATATAAATAATATATAATATATCTATATAAAGGAACTCCAATCAATTTCAATCATTGCGCCATCAATGGCAGCCATAATTCAAAGCCACGTCTTAGCAGCATTGTACAATTGTCACTGTGACAGTGGCCAGAGCAAAACACATGAATAACCAAATTCACTCAACGTCTCAGCTATGTATATTACGAGAGGATACAACTATAGTAACAAAATAGCACAAAATCAAAATAATTACCTCTCTTGGATTTCCAATTACTTTCCTAGTTACGACGATAAGTTAGAGTAAAAAATGTGCTTTCATTTTCCCGCATCGTTTTTTTACCGATGTCAAATAAGTAATACATGAGTAAGTTACTTTTCCTGATATCACACTTCAAACGTTTGCGTAAACCTCATCAAGTCATCGCGAGAAAATCTCCAACAATGAATCCATTTGATGTATTCATGTTAATCTTTCTAAGCAAGCGTATCTTCACGGCTGTCTCTTTCTCTGGCTTGGTCGCGCGCCGCCCTGGCGTTTGTACTTGGGCCGCGCTTTGAAAGATCTCTTCACCGACTCCTTCCCAAGGACACGCGGTATGTGCCTAGCCTCCATGACGTATGGCAGTGGCTGCTGGCACTTCTGAAATCAAAATATCAACTCTCATTTGATTCGATTCTAACATCACGTTTCCGGCACGAGGCATTGAACGGCTATATAATGGAATGAAACTGAACCGCAAATTTGCAAAAAATTCTTATGATTACCGTTTCGATGAGATTGCTGAGAACAAATACAATGCATTTAAAAATTCACTATGATGATGTGATTTTATAGGATTCAGACGTCGATTTTGCAAAACTGAGTCAGCATTATAGCAGTGTTCAACTAGTGTTCAACTGAGTGTTTAACAGTAGTGTGCCTGCATGCAACACAAGGTAGCGGACCTCAATGCGTCTGTACAGGTTTCTGGCAACAATACTAAACAACTGATTCCCGAATTTAATTTAGAAACATATAGCTTATGCCAAATGCTAATTCCTGACAGCTAGAATGGGATCTACATGTCGCAAGACAACTTCAAGCAAATGGTCGGATGGATGGGTGGATCGTTGGAGTGCGTTGGATAGTATTCTTGCAGGAGTTCGTGCATACACAGAGGGCCGCTGCGTGGGTCAGCCTGGCTGTACGATCATACCTGTGTCGTCATGATGCACGATGGAATTTCCAGCACACCTTTCAGTAGCGTGTTAACCTTGCCAAGGTCAGCAAAGGGCACCGGCGTGAGTATGTAGAACACCTTCTGCACTGGGTCAATTCCCCGCACGATACCTGAATGCGACGAAAGATCTTATTCACTTGACCAAAAAATGATAATGATAACGAGAAGTTAAGAATAAATTAACCTATGTGGAGGCCTGTTAGGTATATATCTGTACATATCTGTACAAGATATCGCCATTTATTATGGGTAGCAGCTATAAGCAAGTGTTAGCAGCTAAAATTATTTAGGTTGATATTGTGAGGGCCAAGCTTAGTGCATCTTGCCGATTGCGTTTCCATCCCAATCCTTTATAAAAGGAATTAACACTTCAAGTAGAGCATGCACCACCTTCAGTAACCACCTAATTAATCTAATATGGTAGTATCTGTAGTAGTCTTACAGAAACTCGAGCTCACAGAAACTTTTTGGAGAAATGCCAATTTGTATCAAGCTATGAAAACCAGCTCATTTTCTTTCAGAAGTGAGGATAAACAGAGAAATATTGACAGAGTAGCACCTACCGAAGCCAAAGCATTTGCACACAGGAGTAGAATGAAAGAACCGGGGCAGTGTTTCATCTTCTGAACTCAGCATCTGCAAGATTTAAGAAAATGTATTATTTTGCACATCTTTGTTTGGCATTGAGCACTATAATACACAGTGAATATTGCTTAGTGTCATCACCTCAAGCTTTGAGACTACAACACACCAACCAAAAGTGAGAAACTGTACATCACTTTTCGGAACTTATGCACTAGCAAATTATGTAACATCGAAAAGTATCCAGAATTTCCATGCCAAAAATTTAAGTGCAAATCTCTAGTAATAAATGCCAAATGTACCTCTTTTGGATCAGCAGCACACAATGCTACAACACTCGCATTCAATGAAAGCAGGGCAAGTGAGTTTGGAATAACTGCATGACTCACATGAATCCCAACTGCACTCCATGGAAGACTGGAACGTTTGTTAATGAATGATAATGAGCAAATTACACAGAGTAACATTTAGAAGAAAGGTCAAACTCAGGTCAATGCACTAATTGATCGAGAGAACCCACAATCGACTGCTATTAATCAGCTTTGTTGTCATAATCAGTAATCGTGTTTGTTTGTATTCACTTCTGATTACATATATATGTACGTATACAGTGTATGTCTATGATATTAAATAATGTATGATATGATGTCAGGGGCGGATTCAGACCGTATTTGCCGTATTGGGAAATACGGTCTAGATTTCAAAGTGCCCTTCGAAATTTTGCGCTAAAAATTACAGAAAACAATTTGATGGAATTTGGCTATATTCTTTATTTGTTTTCTTTTTCTTTTGATTCATTGACAGGACTTGAAGGAAATCAAAATTTTAAATGGTAACAAAACTAGCTTTGATATCTGAAAAAGAAGGGAAGTGCTTGAATCATTCTGCATTAATTGCTGGTATGCAAAGCACAGGCAAAATGAAGCAGAAATAAAATTCCATATGGTTTTTAGCTATTGCTGCTTGACTAAATGTGTGCTCAAATGGTGCTCATTTTTGTGCCCAGGTACCCTTGAAATTTTGAAATTTCCTGAGGCAGGCCCCCCAGACCCCCGCCATGTCCTTCCGCGCCTAACGGCGTCCACTGTGGGGTAGTGTGCCCTTTTTGGGGGATGTGCCCTTAAAATCTGGAAAAATACTGCCTAGCTTCAGCCCTGGATCCGCCCCTGGATGTATGTTGTATAGATATGTTCAAGAGATTACCTGTATGGCTGGAGAGCCTCAAGTGGCAACGACTTTCCAGTAACTGTGAAGTCAAGCATCTTGCCCATATAGGCGAGAAAGCTGAGATGCCGATGATCTTCTGGTTTGTATTGCTTCTTCCTTTAAATAATAACAAAATAAACCTTTGTTGTTACCTACAGAGCCTATGATTGGATAGAATATGCAAAACACTACATAAAAGGCTTTCTACTAATAATTCACAGTTATCACTGCTACTACACACTAACAACGTTAAGGTTATCATAATGTGTAGTCTGATAACATATATGATAGCATAATTTATAACGACAATCTCAAAATCCATAACATCGGCAATTAATCGATGGCCTTGCCAAATCTTCGGCAGCTCTCTTCCATTGCACGCCACTCAAAACACAATCTGTCAGATCGAATTGGTTGGGGAGAGGCGAACCTACCTTTGATGATATTCCTCGTAACTCTCCACCAACAAATGCCTATGGTTGCTCAGGGCTCTCTGTTCGTAGACCATGCCTGGGGTGCAGGACAGGAATTCCTCATTCACCAGTGGCAGGTTCTTATTGGGACTCGAATGCACAAACTGCACCACGTGCGTGGGCTGCGTGATGTTTATTACATCCACCAGCAAGTTTAGTCCCATACCTGTCGGCACAGATCCAATTTGAATTACAGATTAGCATTAGCATAATTATACTCATATAGTATAAACATTTTACAAATATTTCGGTTTTAAGTTCATGATTACATGCAGAGAATGATCGTTCTACTCAACCCACATTTACACACTTCCCAAACGACACACCCGCACCCGCGCCCGCGCCCGCGCACGCGCACGCACACGCACACACACCTCTGTTCCAGCCCATGGTGTTTACAATTAAGGGAACCCTGTCGCGCCTCAACTTGACGTAAGCCTGGTAGACGTATTTCACGCATGCGACGTAGTGTACTGGGTCTTCCTGGGCCGCTATATGTCCATAGTAGCACATTCTATATGGCTTCCTCTGGTGCGTAAACGGCGGGCCTGTTACAACATAATTTAACATAATAACATAATAAAACATGCTATAACAAAATAATTCAAAGTAATTTAAACCTCTATTGAGTGCACAGGCTAAAAAAATTACACACTTTCTATACTGTATACTAACGACTGTAACTCGCCACACGTTCGTTCCGTCATACCGTTTTTGTTACTGAAAATAATTGACAATTTTTTAAGCGAGCTATGCACTTGTAAAGTATTAGTGATTACTCTGGTTAAACCCGACCACTATTTTAACCATACTACCACCTCTATGCTACCTGATAAACAACTAAATTATTATAACAACTAACATCCAACACAAGCCTTCCACACATCGTGCAAATTTTATGCCTGTAATGTCTAAATGTCATGAATCACTGGAAGGTTAGACTTAGTTGTGTGCCTATCGTTTATCAGCTAGGTGACTAGCAAAATGCTCTGTACAACAAACAGCATTGTCAGCTCGTCGATAAAGCCGCAGTACACGTACCGATCACAGGTGTGGTGACAATGTGTAGAGAGATGCAGCCCGACGGGGTGAACTCAGTCTGACCTATGTCACACTCCAGGTACGCAACTCGCTTACACCTGCAAAACACGATTGGCAACTCGCACTTAAACGTAGCTGATTACATCGATTCTGTCACCACCAGCGACGTCTGACAACGTATTATTTATCTAAGTCAATCACTATTTATACTCACTCAGACAATGCAGAGTTGATTAGGTGTCGTGCCATTGTCGATTTACCCACGTTCCTTCCTCCACAAACGAGGAACACCTGAGCAGTACCTGCAATAACCACAACAACGGAGTACCGGCAGGCGGCGATGGCTTTCCTAGGAGACAGGATGCCGGTATGGAGCACAACACGCACACAAATGTAAGACGGCGAATCCTGTCTCGGATGCGCGCAGATGCACAACGCGCACGACGGCAAATCCTTCTCGGATGCGCTCAGACGCACAACACGCGCACGAAAGCATGACGGCAAATCCCGTCTTGGGCGCGCACAGACGCAGATTCGTGCGCGATGGTAAATCCTGTCTCACACGCGCGCAGACGCACAACACGCACACAAATGCAGGACGGCAAATCCTGTCTTAAACGCGCTCAGACACACAACACGCGCACGAATGCACAACGGCAAATCCCGTCTCGGGCGCGCACAGACGCACAACACGCGCACGAACGTACAACGGCAAATCCCGTCTCGGGCGCGCACAGACGCACATCACGCGCACGAACGTACAACGGCAAATCCCGTCTCGGGCGTGCACAGATGCACAACACGCGCACGAACGCATGACGGCAAATCCCGTCTCGGGCGCGCACAGACGCAGAACTCGCGCACGAACGCGCGACGGTAAATCCTGTCTCAGACGCGCGCAGACGCACAACACGCACACAAATGCAGGCCGGCAAATCCCGTCTCGGGCGCGCACAGACGCACAACTCGCGCACGAACGCGCGACGGTAAATCCTGTCTCAAACGCGCGCAGACGCAGAACTCGCGCACGAACGCACAACAGCAAATGATTCAAATCCCATCTCGGACGCGCGCAGACGCGGTACCCCTACCTGTAAGGTTGATGGCTCGGCTCGTCTCTGCTATGACAGAGAGCCAGTTGCCGCCGAAGCTGCAGACGGGCAGCGGCGCGTCTGCATACATGAACTTGCAGCCGAGTGGCGCGCTGACCTTGTTGAGGTGGTCGACGCCCTCGAAGCCGACGCCCGGCCGAAACAACGTCTCGTACTCGCCGAAACCGGAGATGAACTGGTACGGAGAGTTCTCCGCGGGACCTATCTGCAATCGAACGCGCACTGATACCTTCATCTCCTCGATACCTTTTTCATATATGGATTATCGTCAAATTTTAGCCACGTGTAGGTACTGCAAATATTACAAACTAGTTTTTCGCACATAAACACATTAGGGCTGTAACGATCCACCGAAATCGAATCGGATCGCGATTCTCTTCCCTCGATCCGATCCTCGATATTTTTCCCCGTATTTTCGATTCCACTTCGATACCACTTTTTCCCTCCAATAGATGGCGGCACTACGCTATATACTGTGGAGTGTTACTCACCAATTTTATTCAGCCACTGTGCAGTGTACATATACTATTACCATAGAGATGTATAAATAGTATACATCTCTATGATATATACTCTCTAGACTCTCTAGTCTATTCACCATTTAGTATTCATTGGCAATTTCTAATAATTTATTATTGCAAAATAATGAAAATATAAAAAATAAGATAACATTTCAATATTTTGGGAATCGAATCGAAGGAATCGAATCGAGAGGCTAATATCGAGAGGCTAATATCGAGAACCGGATCGAATCGAGAGGCTTGTGTATCGTTACAGCCCTAAAACACATGTACACGTGCGCGCGCACCACACATACACACACACACCGATGTCGCCGCCGTACGCACCACGACGCCCCCCCCCCATACGCACACTCACTCCGCTCTATAAACACGCACACGCACACGCACACGCACACACGTCACGAATAATTCCCTCACCCTCTTTATCTCGAACGACCGCGACGACATCGTCGGCCGACCACCCGCCGCCGCAGCAGCGCACGGTCAGCAGCGACGTACTGCCCGGCGAGAACACCGAGTGGTACTTGCGGCCGAGTCCCGTCGCCGCGTAGCCGGCCACGGTCACTGTGCCCGAGACGACGCGCAGCCGGAAGCGGCCCTGCACGGCGAAAGCGTCTGCACGGCCTCACCGCCGCAGCGCACGCGCAACAAGGCGCCGCGTCCTCGATTCGGCAGCCGCATGAATCCTGTCAACGAGAACGCCGTGCTGAGACGCGTGCTGAGACGCGTGCCGAGACGCGTGCTGAGAACGCGTGGTCTGACGACGCGTGCTGAGACGGGCGTGCTGAGCAACAGTGCCGAGACGCGTGCCGGACGTGGCCGAGACGCGGCGATACATGTGTCGAGACGCTGCTGAACGCGTGCCGAGACCGTGACCGGCAACGGCGGCGATTACCATGATGTAAGAACAGTGCCCATGGCGAGATGAGACGAGATAGGGGGAGACGCGGCGATGATGTGGTGAGACGTATTGAGACGTGGCGAGACGTGGCAAGATGTGGTGAGACGTATTGAGACGTGGCGAGACGTGGCAAGATGTGGTGAGACCGGGCGATGAGACTGGCGAGACGCGCAGAGATTGTGGTGAGAGCGTGATGAGCGTGGCGAGACGTGGCAAGATGTGGTGAGACGTATTGAGACTGGCGAGACGTGGCAAGATGTGGTGAGACGTGTTAGTGTAACGGTCGAACTCGTCTTGATGTCAAATGTGTGTGTTGACGCGATGAGTATGTGCGGACGTGGCAGGATGTTTGGTTGATACTGTTATTGAAGACGTTGACTTGTATGATGTTGTTGGGTTAGTATGATGATCGTTTGGTCGAGACGTGGTCGAGTATCTATTGTTAAGACGTGGTTTCGAGATGTCGTGTCTATATATTTGTTGGTTTGAGTTACGTATTGATCCTGTTGCTTGAGACGTCGTCATAGTATTTGGTTGTAGATGTCTTCTAATTGTAGACGTGGCGAGATCGCGGGTCAGAGATGTGGTGAGACGTATTTGAGAACCTGTGGCGAGAGTGGTGAGACGTATTGAGACGTGCGAGACGTGGCAAGATGTGGTGAGACGTATTGAATCTGCGTGGCGATTGAATCGGTCAAGATGTGGTGAGACGTATTGAGCCGTGGCGAGATTGCATTGTCATAGATGTGGTTGTTAGATGTATTTGTAGTTTCCGTTGCGAGATCGCGGCATAGATGTGGTGAGATGTATTGAGTTCCGGTGGTCTGTATGATCGCGGCAAAGATGTGTTTATTATTTATTCTCTTCTGTATATTGCGGTGAGATGGGGTGGTGGCGGGGTGAGATGCGACAGGTACGATGTTCACCTGGTTTCATGCACCTGTTACTATTTTCAGACATCAAGGTTAAAATGGCCACTAGACCCAGCACGCATTTAAAGGTCTGCTAGCAACTACTACTCATCACAAACAAATAAAACTATTCAATTCAAACTCGACAGTAATTCGCGAAAAACAGACACACGTCCCAGCGTCCGTACCTCCACAGCGCTCCACGCAGACGTCTCTTCTCCTCGCGGTCTTGTCTTCGACGTTGCTATCTGCTGGTCAGCTGACCGCACCTGCGTGTCGACTTGCCGTGCGATCCTGCGCACCCAGTGCGTAGTGACGCTCGTCTGTCTGCTTGGCTGCTGCTGCTGATGCTGCTGCTTGCTGCTGCTGTCTTGCTGCTGCTGCGGCTGCGGCGGGCATGTTGTGGGCGGAGGCACTGCATGGAAACCAGACGGCTGTTCTACTGTGGCTGGTCGACCGATCCCATCGAGGGATTGCTTTGATCGCGTGTAGTTCCTTTCGTCGTGTTACGGCTGCTCGCCTAACCTCGTTGTCATTCTGTCTGCCTGCGCTCCCGGTGCGAGGGTGTCTGCTGAAGGGTGTTGTCCGTGAGCACTATGTGCAGTTGGATGTCAGCGAGGGCGCCGGTTGCTGGTCGCGGCCATGTCGCTGGCGTCGTGCCGGGCTTCGCTTTGGGTTTTTCGCGCCGGGACACTGCGAGGTCGGCCGGGTTCGCGAGTCCGCCGCCTGGGCCGCGGGTCGTGCTGGCGGGTCCTTTTTCGTTGCCGTTTGGAAGACGGTGCCATCTGTCGATCGTGATTACAGGCGAGAGCTGCCGCCCTGCCGCGGACGCCGTACAGTCGACGATGCAGACGCCGTGGCATTCGCCGCGAGGTGGATGAAGGGTCGGAGTCGGTTTGGAGTCGGTGCGGGTGAGAACCTCGTTCCGCGGCAACTCTCGTCGGAAATTCTTCTCGGCCAAACTGAGCTTAACGGCTTTCTTGATTTTCTTGTTCTTTGTCATCCGTTTGTTTCTAATTTTCACCACCTTTCCGGCTCTTGCCGTTCCTACAGCATTGATTTTACGAGTTCGTTCGGCGTCGTCAGCTTTTCCCGAATGCCCATGACTACTAATTGCCTTGACTTCAGCTTTACAAGATGACATCACTGACTTCATATCAATTTGGTTTTGCACTTTTGTTTTGCATTGATCCTCTTTTAGATAAACATGTTGTTGGTTTTTATTAACCTTCATCTGGCAACGTCTCCTAATACTGTTACTACTGTGTGACGTTTTCCTATTGGTAATATTGTCACCATGCAACTTATCACCTATGTTCTTATGTTCAGTTTTCTTTTTTTGCTTCACAGCTGGGATACCTCTACTTGTTTTTTTCGGAGGCATTGCACAAGGATAACTTCTAATCAAGTACTAATCAAGGCCCCTATTTGGCATCTGAATGTAGCATTACCACATCTTGAAGCAGCACCAGAGCCAGAGGCATGTAAAACTTGAAGGTGCTCTGGAAAATAATGTAAACCACAAAGTGATAATCAAAATGAATTTGCATCCATGAAATAATATTAAAACTTTTAGAATAAAAATCAGCAGATGTTGCTACTTTCATGAAAGTATTATAATAATGACTATATTTGTAGTATCAACATGTTACACAAATTAATTTTGTAATACACCAACACTTCGTTAACCTATTCAAAAGATAATGGTTGTGCTGGTTAATTCACATAGTATAGTCAAGTATGCTGGATATTGCCACCATTGGCAAATGCAAATGAATTTGTTGAAAGAGAAGGGTTGGGGTTGGGTTGGGTTGGTTTTTGTGAAATTCCATAAAATGAATAACGTTGCCCTATTGACTTACACTATATTATATACTGTCCTACGACGTGTAACAGTCGGAGAGCCTGGTCCACAGGCACTTGAAGCGTTTCAATCAAATATAATGCTAAATATAAATACGAAATCTATTTACTACCAAACTCTTAATGTATCTATACTCTCTTTCACCTATTATTGCCGACAGTTTCCTGCAAATTCCGTCCATGTGCAACATACGCTGGCGGCCGCCATTGCTCACACGACTGCACTGTGCACACTGAGACTTATATATATAGCTTATTAGTATATTATATTAGTATATTATATATAATATCAGGAGTGTATCAAACGGAGTAAGACAGACTGAAACCGGCAAAATTCAACATTTAGTAGCCTTAGTCTACCTATGATTTATTGTGTTTACCTCGATAAACTTGAGCTCAAGTCTTGCCTTAATCATTAAACTTTATCAGCGTGTCTAATGCGTTGGTCTCACAAAAATGACAAATCGGGAGATATCGGTCTAAACGTACAATGTGGTTTTAGAAAGTTACATCGTGAAATCAACAACTGTAAACCGAAACATAAGGGCAATGCTTTTGAAAGCCCTCTATCGCAAAGCAATGCAAACATAGCAAAGAACTAGCGAGGTTTGCTAGGGATTTCGGAAAGTTAAACACGCCTTGTTGTTATTATAGGCCATGTCGGAATGACAGTAATATAGATAGTTATTGAACAATATGTTAGAGGAACAAATAAACATGGGATAAAAATAAGCTAAACATGTGAAATTCTTTAGTTCTCATGTAATAGTATCAATAACACCAAGCTTCGTGTTATAATCCCTCTCGAAATCCTAGCACAACCTCGCTAAGTGTCTTTGCTATGTTTGCATTTGCTTGCGAAGGCAGGGCTTTCAAGAAGCATTGCCTTAGTTTCGGTTTAGCAGATTGTTGATTTCAGCGATGTCTAAAAAAAATAACTTTCTTAAAACGCACATTGTACGTTTAGACCAGTGCCCGGGAAGTCCGGACGCGGGCCGGATCGCCGCGGTAGTGGTTCAATTCCGGCCCGCGAAGGTTTTGGAGAATGTGCATGCAAACCCACGACTTTCGCTTAATATAACCTGCTTACAGAAATTCGAATGACGAGCGGGCAATTCTTCTTACTGGGCGCATGGTCTGTTGGAACCTGTAGAGAGTACTGTCGGTTGAAGAGCGCGATTAAGGCCGACCAATCGGAGGGCGTGGCTGACGTTTGGACCGATGCGTATTGCGCACTGGAAATGCGTTACGTCAACGTGTCAACACAAAATGGCGCTCAGTTTAAATTCGCGCCTCGTCACTTCGAATTTTTTGTAACAGGTTATATTAGTTTAATAGCATAGTATTGCGCGATACATAGTAAAGTTCCCCCCGAATCAGCGGAAAGGATTCTGTGTTTAGAAAAGACCCAGTTTGGAAGATTCCTATGTCTCTGAAATTACACAGCAAACGTCCCGAGGTGATTCACTCGCGTGCATTGTCTCTCCAGAGAAAGAGGGATAGCTCGGCGTTGTAACGCCATCCCCTCTGGGCCCCGAGCGTGATCCAAGAATCTACATTTTTGGCCCGCCGAATGAAAAGTTTCCCGGGCCAACTGGTTTAGACCGATATCTCACCGATTTGTCACTTTTTGTGAGACGCAACGATTAGACCACGGATAAGTTGTAGATGATTAAGGCAAGGACTGTGAGCTCAGAGTTTATGCGACAGGTCAAACTAATCGATAGGTAGACTAAGGCTACTAAATGTTGAGATTTTGGCGCGGTTTCAGTCTGGTTTAACCTCGGGTTTGATACCTCCTAAATATATATATAGTACTAATTATGTGCATATTATAATAATATATATTATACAATTACGTTATATATCTAATATTATATATATATATTAGTATATTATATTACAGGTTCTCCCTACGTTGCGCAAACGGGGCGCACGACACCCGTTTGGGAAAACTCCCCCGTTTCGATCGTTGCGCCCCGTTTAAAATACCTCGCCCCGATTAAATTCAACAATAAAAGTTTGCCAGCGAGGATTCGATCGTCAAGAATTCCCATTCGACCAGCACACCCGCACGATTTTTTGTACACCTGTAATTTTACCGTGCCAGCGCATGCACTGCAGACAATACACAAGTACAAACAGTCACCTGTCACCCAACACCAAAGATCGTATAGTGCCGTAGGCACAAGATAAACCACTCATGCGAAATCACGTGCAATGACGTGTAGTACGCAATGGAGCGCCACGTCCGCCATTTTACGAAGCAAAACCCTCCGCGTCTGTTTGATACATAGAATAATATGGATAACCATGGTTAATTATAGATATATATTGCATAATATAATGTAATAGGATAATATTTTTTATGCAATAGCTGTATCAAATCTCTCATTCAAGTGTACAAAAATCTAGCAATGAATCATAATCGGATGTTACTATGTTAGTATGTACACAGTGCAGTGGTGTAGCTGTCCGACATGGTACAGTGCACCAAGCACTTCATTGGACCGTCTCAAACAAATAATGGTAAATAAACACTAACAATGTTCTACTATCAAAGTATTAATGTTTCTCTACTCTATTTCGCCTATTATGTGTCGATAACTTGCCTGTAAATCCGTTTAAATGCTCATCTGCAACACACAAGTAGTGAAGTACACCGCACGTAGCCCTGTGCACAAAAAGAATAAGAGAGCCACTGCACTGTCACGGTACTACATGTTTCAACCGAAGATTGCACACCTCTTTCACGATGGATTTCGACAAAAAAGAATGTTTTCTCACCTTTTCTATTCTTGGGGAACCTGAAGAAAGACAGGGTCGGGCCCTACCTGATGATTCGAGCAATTTACCAGGCAGAACCGTAAGCTGTAGCTGAGCACACAGCAGACAGTAGCGAGAACAGCAACATCCGGCAACTTCGTGTGAACTTGGTTCCTAAAATGGCGGTTGTGGCGACCCATGACCTACTACGCGTATTATTGGACAGTGTGTTATCTTGTCCTACGGCACTATCACGTCACTTTGCCCAACACTAACTGACACACCGTCGGCTATCTTATATATACAAGAACCCCAAATACCCGTCTATTGGTGTGGTGACGATTTTACGCATAATTAGTGTACGGTAAAAAACAACGCGCCCCCGGACCCCCCCCCTTCCCCTCCCCTCCCCTTGTTTGAATTTCATCCTGGGAGAACCCTGATATTATAATATATATATATTAGTATATTATATATATATACACTATATAAGTGTCAGTGTGCAGCACTGCAGCGGCAGCAATTATGGCGCTTGGCGGCAGCCAGTGTTTGTTGTAGACGAGCATTTGGACGGCATTTACAGAAAATTGTCGACAATAATAGGTGAAAGAGAGTATAGGTGCGCGCGAGCTACGTCACAGATCAGTAGTCAAGTGACCCCAGCAGAACGCCGGTGAAACAACACAA